CTGGTTGTAGAAGCCTTGACTGCGCCATCTCGCCGACCATGGCGAGAATTATCAAGATCACCTGATGGACGTAAAGAGTCTTGGCAAGCGTCCTTAGTGCTCCCATTCCAACGGCTGTCTTCGGTTGACTCTTTGTCAAACAGTGGTTCTGGCAATTCGGCAATAGCACCATTGGTTTTCCTAGAGATCTCTCCGTCTCACTGACGTTCATTATTAATTTGATGCCTCTGATATGACAACAGATTGGTCTACTGACATCTAAGCATGCCTCTACACGTGCTGGAATGACGTGTCTCGATCGTCAAGCCACTCAGGTGCGCTTGACAGGCAGGCAATGTGTCAACTCTGTCTCCAAGAACACCTGCCTTTGTTTGTCGTGGTCAGTTAAACGCCATGGTTCCTTTAAATGCATCGAAATTCCCCTGCACTGCTCCGTTTATTTACGTATTGTGCGTTTAATGCCTGGTTCTATGTTAACATATCGAGCTATTAATTTGACTGTTAGTGCATATGAGGCCCTTGGTTAATTCATTCGATATGCACGGCAATTGGATATGTTTAACCTGAAGTCCATTTTAAACTGTGCATGTTGTCTGTACTTTCTACCTCTTCTCTCATCAGACTGTTGCAAATGTGTTCTCTGTCAGTGATCCGGGCTGGAATCTTGAGTCATTTTGGCACTTGCATATGACAATGACCAGGTCTTGGTAAAATACAAATGACGGCCTCCGAAACAATTGTAATTCGATAAAAAGAGAGCGGATTTTGACAAGCGTTATCAACTCCCGCAAATCCAGTTCCTTTACATAACACTGGCGTTATTGTGGCTCCCTTTCGCAGTAACAAACGCTATCTCATTCTTACAAAACGTCACCACATCAATTATTCAACGGGCCAATAGCATTAGTAAGTATTTCCATTTAACCGAGGCCTGTCAATTAATGAAGTCCTGTGTTCATCAATTAACTTCCCTGAAAAGTCAACTCGTTACCACCGACGCCGCGTTCGAGGAGGCTGGATTAATGCTGATGGATTCCACGTTGAGTTGCAAATAGAAAACGTCGTATATTGTGGAACTCCTCGATGTGTTAACTTTGGCTAATACAACGGATCGTCGATATAATCCTTAACGTATATAATACCTCCAGCAATAAGCTATGTCTTGTTTCGTTTCTAAGGATTTACGTGACAGCGTACTGTTCATGTAGATGTCGATATGAAGGAGGCTGATAATGCCATCGATGATCCTGGCTTTCAAAAGAATGAGCTGTGGTTTTTGTTGTGGTGGGTTCTGAATCCAATACCAAAGTGGTTGACCTATAACAACGAAGTTATCAGAACTGCAGCCCTGTCTTTAAAAAAGGAAGAAAAAATAACAAGTTTGTTGTTGCTCCCAAGGTCGTTGATCGTGTTTGTTTGCTTCCTGATTTCCTATCGACGATCGAGCAGGGTAATCTGAAGCAGAAGAAATATATTGGTTATTTTTTAGACTTACACGCCGACACGCGGAGAATTGTATATCACACACCCGACACGGGTAGCTATTATATCTGCAAGTATATGACTTGGAATAGGAGGCGGAAACTGCAGTGAACAATCGTGACGGTAACGTTCACACATCGTTCCATTAGAGCGAGGCTGAACCAGTGCGTTTGACGTCTCTCTTCCATGGGAGACAAATGACAATAATGATGCAGCCTGTTAATACAACCATTACACGTGCACTGACTATCCACGTTGAAGTTGGAGAGGTCACTTTCCGAGTTAATTGCAATAAAAAAACGTAGACACTTTCAGGCAGGAAGATTGTCCATAACGACTGGGCAGTGCGCTAGTATTTTTGTACATCTTGTTACCTGTCGCCTTAAATTTCAGACTCCCTTATTTTCATTCTTAGATCTACCTTCGCCCGTTTCGCCAGCCGCTATGCTCTCCTTAATTATCTTGACAGCCTCTGTAAACGCGTACGGTTAGTGTTAAACAAGTCGTCATAGACGTATCTCATTTTTCCAGCTTTTATTTTCGTTCAAAGTGAGTACGCAATCTGGTAAATTTCCTGCAACTCCTTCCGGCAACCTATTGTATTTTATAACAGGAATGAACTTAACGTGCCTTTTTATTCTTTTATTCTCAAACCTTCATTTTATCAAACTGTTTTACAAGTACACCTTATTTCATCTCGTTTCTCTTGTTATTTTAATAACCTAATCAATCTTCTATTTCACAACAGTCAACAGGATAGCGCTCAAATCTACCTATTACTAGCTTGCTATTACTGGCTTTTATTTTATCTTTTGTAATAAACGCCGGAGTTTCCATGCCACGGAAGTAAATTAAACCAGCGCCGTTAAAATGTTTGGATCATGCATTTACCGTATGGCAAAGATACATATATGACTCTAGGTTATATGCCCTTGACTTTACACAGTGCCTTTTATATAAACACCTGTGTTAAGAGCGTCATTATTTACATGTTGTCATGGAAACCGTCTTGCTGCAGGAAAAAGCACAACACAATTAAAAATATCATCCACTGTTACCTGTGTCAACTGTATATCGTATTGACATTTGACAGTCTTTTCTTTGGTCTCAACTTAATTGTCTAACAGCAGAAGCCCTTCATATTGCGCTGAAAATATCGCGTTGGAATTTAATCCTTAGACTATATTTATAGTTGTGGAAAACGTGCATCTTTTGCAGTCAGATGAGTAAAGTATATTAAATTAGATGTATTCATGTAAAATACTGATCACAGAATGGCAATGCACTTATTGTATTATTTTATCATATATAATATTGTACAACGTCATGATGATCTATATAACAGCTAGCGCAGAAATATATTGAATTGAACTGAATTGAAGAAATTACCAAACCGCTCTCACTACATTGTATCACGGTAAGGTCCTCACGTCTCTTGATTCCAACGTGCTCGTATAATAACCTGCTTTTCTGTATTCTACTCAACACCAGAAGGAGGCGTGTTCATCTGTTCAACTGATTGCATTCAGCCAGAGTCTCCACAGAGTTGGGTCGATGTACATAGACCGATGGTGTCTGTGGAAACGAGCCCTCTAAAGCGAGAAAATAACAGCTTGCAGCTATAAGCATTCTGTGACCTTCACCCTATCGCATTTGAAAACAACGGAAATTGTCGCTGGAAAAAACTCTAGAAGCCAAAGCATCATCACTGCTTACACAAGAATCTTTCCAGAGACAGAATCCGTTTCACACGCACGTTGCTACATGCATGTCACTTGTTGTGAACTGATATGGCGCATTTAAATCTCTTGGTGTACAGAATCACACGAAAATACAGGGGCACTCGAAAACACTGGTATATATAAAACACCACAGCTGAGTTCCGCCCATTGCAACGTTCTTTTGCTTGTTCGAACAGTATAAAATGATCATACCAAACGTATGCTTTTTGCCTTTTGGCATTTTAGGACTCAAGAAGGTTTTAAACTAACGTGGCATTTTTGTTCAGGTTAATGGTGTTCTTGTCTTAGAAACAACTCAAACTGTAATCGAAATTCAAAGGAATTATAGTTCGACACTTTAAGCCCCCATTACACTGGGCGGCGTCTGCGTTCCGTAGTACGCCCCCCCCCCCTTTGAGTGTAAAAAAATACTTAAAGTGCCGACAACTGGCCGAACATTGAACATTCATTCTTCAGCCAAAGCCTTGTTTTTGCCTCCTTTCTACAACCACAGCGATGCCAGTTTCATGGTGGCACAGAGGACGCAGAAAGGACGCCGTCCAGTGTAAAGGAGGCTTTACCGACAACAGCGAAAGTATTCTTGAGTATTGCAAATGCACAGATGGGTTGGTTAAAGGAACCGGTAGTTAACCTTTATGAATCCACGATCATTCAATAAGCTGATGCCTAGGAAAGTATTCACAAGAAAATTGTCACCGCCTGAGATACAGCCGTCTTTACAGAACACCCACAGTAAGACTCCAGGGTATTTTAGGGACAAAAAACACGACTCAGAGTGACGTAGGCTACGACATATCCGTTTCCTTAATGAAGTTAATACATGTCTCTAGGTACCAATACAGAGTCATGTCATACGATTTTACGTTAACGTTGTCTTGGTATTATTTACCTGCGAAGGATTCGAGAAAGCGTGCGATTGTATTTCAACCGCAAAATACGCATTGTGAATTCACACCTTAAGACATCTCTGTGGTGTAGAATTCGATTTTATCTGTTGACATCTATGCCCTCTTTTTCTTTGTGAACAGCTGAGACCCACTTGTACATGTACGTGCACACGAAATATATTTACATGCAATATATATATATATATATATATATATATATATATATATATATATATATATATATATATATATATATATATATATATGTTTAATGTATATTTTTCCAACTTCCTATGCATAAAAGTTGAACACCTTGTTGGAACAATTGTATGGGAACAATTACATGCTTTCTGTCACTCGTTGTACGTATTGTATGAATCAGAGGGAAATGCTAGAGATATGAATGATGGATAATATCAATTGCTTCTTTTTCTTTCTTTCTTTCTTTTTGTGCTCAAAATAAAATAATCATAAGCACTATTGAAGCTGATAAGACTCAAATAATACCCCTCAGCTTGCGCAGAATAATGTCAAAGGATGATTTTAAAAAGATTCTCTCTTTTTTTTAATTTCATGGTTGAAGTTTTTTTTTAAGCATGAATCTATTAATGTAATGTTGAATTTGCCCTTCAATTTACACACATAAATACAATTATTATTATTTTATACCCTTCGAAATTAAAGGACGACAGTAGACAAAACTGAGGACGACTCCACGATGTAATGCCATGCATTATCCAAGTATATTAATTCAGGCCAAGAAGGGAAAATTGTCCAACAAGTATGTACAACCTCCAGATCGCTGTGAGAATGCATACAGGTGATCGGCTAGAATTTACACAGAAACACGCGTTAATATGTATGTTTTTCTCGGCTCACTGTTAGTTTACCGATGTGGGACTCTTGTTATTAGAAAACATTGGAACGCACGTCCACAAGTTTGAAAACGTCAGCAGGAGAGTCTCCCAACATAGCCCAATCTACCTGGTACGTTTACACCTGGGTAAACAACGGTCTTCTCTCACCTTGAAAACACAAACACAAAACCAGTGTCACCTTAGAAGCAGACGATCAGATACGTTTAATTGAATACCGTCATATTTAACGTGAACCCAAAGGTGTTGAATTAAAGGTGTGGAGTTACTTAAAACAGTGTTGGGCGTTTAACGTGTTAATTAAGCTCTCTCGCTTTACAAGACTTCCGCTAGATCGTCCCTAGGATGTATCTGTAATGACGTTTACACCTACAACCTGTTTGGTTCAATTCAATAGCACAACGCGTGCATGGCATTAGGAAGAGTTTGTAAGTGGTGCTCTTGTTCTGTTAAATTTACGCCGTTTATCATGTCGCCTGCTACTTGTTTCTGCCCTGTTGTGATGCAGAATAGTAGATCGACCGCATCGAGCTCGCTGGGGGGGGGGGGGGTTTCTGTTAAATTGGACCTATGAGCTTCAAACGGCTACGCTTTTCTGAAAAAAAAAAACGTTCAAAACAGAGCAGAGTAGAGCTTCAAACCAGTTAGAAAAGCACACATTATAAGACCCACGGAAAGTTTTTTATTTTCTTTCTTTCTTTATTTTCTGGGGGGGGGGGAGGCTGTGTTACATTCTTTATCCCATCTACTATTATCAGCATTGTTTTGTTTTGTCTTTTGAGATTTAACAAAGTACCTCAACGGTTTTTTTTTTATTAACCACAAGCAGAATTCTGTGTAATTCTGTGAGAGATCTAATACAGCTGAGAAAGGTGCCTGTATCATCTTGGCACGTACTTTTTTATAATCATCTTTTTTTCTGCTGACCTCACAAATTAATGTATTCTGGTATATACAGCTACAAGCGGCGTTAACACTATATTGAAATGGAGTCCGCTCCTAATGCGCACCTTCCAAAAAACAATCCACATCCCAGTGTCTACACCCAAAACCTCTACAGTTGACACTACAGTTAACCTTAATTGTCTTTTTAAAATATTTCTATGCAGATGCCAACATTCCACCTAAAAACCAAAATCGGACAAAAGATTCGCGCGTAAATTCGGCGCGTCCTAGAGCCTATAAGGGGCAACCGTTGTTGAATTAAGTGAGTTTGAATGCTGGAAAGTGATAGATGTGATTAAATCTACAATTCTAAATCATAGAAATCAATTGGCCTGCTGGCTCAGACTACTTAATCCTTGGGTGTACTTTGTAGTATATTTCAGCTGTGCTCCACGTGCGTCATTGGGGCGACTACGTATACATTAATGTAAATAGAGTACGGATAGTGTACATTGAAGTCTATACATATAAAAGCAACAACTAGGTAATTTTAGATTTTGACAAGATGTGTAGTTTAAAGACTA